CTGCACAGCCAGGGCAGGACAGGGTGCACAACAGAAGTGTGGCTTGTTCAGAGTTGTGGGGGGGCAGGGGAGCAGCTTCTGGTGCTGCACGTACCCCTAGGGGAGGCATGTGCTCCCTAGATCTGTGCACGGGGTGAGAGTGGGCTGGCTGCTGTACACTCAGGGCCAAGGCTGCACTGGTCTGTACCTGACAGGAGCCTGGCCCAGGCTGCACTCGGGGTGGGTGGGGGCAGCACTGGGAGGGGTGCTACAGGATAGGCTACAGCCACCCCAAAATTTCCCATAGCCCCTCCATAGCCCCAAATCCCAGCACCATCATTACCCACCCTGCACTGCCCAGCTAGAGCACAGCCTGGGCCCAGCGCCCCCCTGCCAGGAAGAGCCTGGCACATCCCCAGGCCTGAGCATGTAGCGGCAGCCTGCCCTCGCCCCATGCACAGATCTGGGGGACACATGCCTCTCCTGGGCCACACTGAATTTATCAGCTACATTATTGGCCACTTCAGCCAAAAAAAGCCAATTGCTGATGATGTCAATTTTCCTTTTATCAGTGCTGATATAATGTGGACTGATGTACAGGTGCACCTGGACTCTTAGGTGTTGTTGATGCACTGGCAGGAATGGGTGGGAGATCGCACTTCTGTGTCTCTGAAGGCTCTGGCTTACAAAGGAAACAGAGTAGCACTAGTAATTGCTCTTGTGTCTTGATGGTTCTCTCATCTGGAACATGACAAGAAACTGCTTGCTTCCCTCTTGGTTCAATTTGTATATGAGGCCAGTCTGAGAAGTGGTGAGATGACACCCCACTCTACTGCATCTCTTCCAGATAGCATGGTCAAATATCCTTCCTTCTGCTATGGCATGTCTGGGATATGGATCAAAGCAAGTTGGATGAACCTTGGTTGCAAGAGTACTGAGGTAAGCTAGTGTGGTTGGGAAAGCAAACAGGGGAATTGTAATTATATCAATTCCTCTCATCTGGAATAGCCTGAAACTCTGACCATCTGAGCATACTCTAATATTGCAATGCACAATTCAGAGAGGTAATGAAGGAGAAGGTAAGACTCCTGCCTGGAGGGAATGCACTATGAAAGGGCAGTTTTAATTCATAATAGGCCTGCTGCTATCTGATTTGTATATGACATAGGACTGGGAGGGCATGAGACACATTGTTGCCATGACTGATTGCTGCTTGTAACTCCTTGGATTACATTTCTGTCAAGAGCATCTACTGGGTTCTGATGGCCCCTTATTTCTTTGGAGTTCTTGAAGTTGAAGCATAAGAGAGAATTTGCTTTTTTTTCAACTTCAGGTGTTTATTTTTATATATCAAGACGGCCTTTATTTTTTCCCTTGACAATATTCATTTTTCAGCAAAAAAATCTAAGATTAAAGAAGGATAGGTTACATCCAGTCCTACATTCCATTCATTTCTTTATTTCTACACCTCTCTCACTGAGTAAGTCTGCAGTTGCAGCCAAATACCAAAAAAATCCAAAGACCCACATGCGACATTATGGGATGTTTCCTCAGCAGTTCTGGCTTTGTGTTTGCTTCCTGCATTGGCTGTAGGATAGCTATGAAAGTGCTTTTGTGGATATCTCCAACTTAGTTTGCGGTAAATCATGCTACCCTGTATTTACCTTTGACTCATCTATGGTTTTAAGAACTGTTACTGGTTTCCTTCCTCCAAATATTGAAGCACAGCCTTCTTTCGATGAGTGAAAATTTTGGCTTAAAAAAATAGCTTATACATATTGCTGAAAGCTGTAAATTGGCTTACAACCATGGCCTACTTTACCAGTCTATTAATATGTCTTTGCAAACAAATATTTTCCTGAGCTATCATCCAAAAAAACCCAACCAATCAAACAACACCTAAAGCACAGACCTAGGTCTGTCTTTTATATCTATTTTACAGATGGATAAACTGAGAAACACAGAGGTCATGCTTGGCCAGCAGCAAAGAATGGAAAACAAAAAATGTAGCTGCAGCCTCTAGTATAGCCATGCTGGTTTCCCAAGGTGCAGAAGACTCTTATATCCTTATATATAGGAGACAGTTTAAGAGATCCCTCATTAAAAAAAAATATAACCTTGCAGATGCTCCTTTCCTAGGAAAGTATTTAATAGCTGGAAATGTTCTTAAACCAAAGGCTGAAAGACCAGCGCAATATTTTTGTTTAATTTTTAAAAGGTTCCCAGCACCTATAATTTCTGTCAGCTACTAATGTCAACAGCACTTCAAGAAAAAAAAACTTCAGCAGCTCTTCACTTCAAAAAAAAAAAAAAAAAAAAAAGGAGGAGTACTTTGAACTAATAGAAAAAGATTTCAAGTTACTTACCTTGGGCAGTGTGAGGCTGGTTTTTGGAATGGACACATCTGTTCTACTGTTGTTTCACAGGTGATAGCTTGAACTGGCAAAAAATAAAAACAGAAAAAAAATCAACATATGCTATCAAACAAAGTACGGTCTAATATAAGATTGCATACATGAATAAACACTAACCTGCTACTTTAGAGACTGTGAAGGAATTAGCAGACTGGTATTTCCTAAACAAGAAATAATAGGAAAAAATCATCGATTTCCCTCTCTAATTTTCATTTAAGAATACTGATATCAAAATCCTAGAACAAATACCAGACATAGCCTTCATTGGGACCCACTAATCATGACCCCACAGCAGTGACTAGTGTTAATTTCACTAAATAATTAATTTACATTCACAGTGAAAATCAATATGAAATCAGTGATTAGTGAATCTTGCACTGAGCTTTGTCAGTGTCCCTATTTGATAACAATAGTAACAGAAAATAATGGAATCATCTCACACCTAAAATCCAGAAACCAGCATCTATGGCTATGTTTTGCTCAGGAGTGTTCATCAGCAGAAGCAGTCATCGCCCATCCATGCACCCTTCAGCCTGAAACTGCTGGCTCAGAAAGCCTTCCTGTCAGTCATTTTTCAGAACCTAGATTTTGTTTTTTTAGAATCATTTCTACGTTACCACTATCACTGCTATCTTTATTAGGCAAGCCAAAAGCATAACATTTCCTTGTTCATAATTACAAGATCTTCTTTGAATCTTTATCTAGCAATTGTTAATATTAACAAATGGTAAATATTTTCTATCTCAGCTCATATGCCAGTCTTCCTGATACTTTGGTTTTATTCTTTATTCCACTTATAATGAAGAAGTAAATGACTACCTCATTTGACTTTGGTAATCTGAATCTTGTAATGACTGATAGTATAGTCACCTACTCAAAACTGACCCAAGCAAATGACCTATTAACATTCTATTTCTGTCAATTTTCAATTACACATATGTGAATTACAAAGGAGGGAATAAGGACAGCAACTAAGTATTCATTGTCATAACCATATTCATTATCATGGTGAAGGCTACTTTGTTCATGCTAACATTGATTTAATGCTACTACCTTTGATTATAAAAGCATAACATTGATACTACATCATCCAGTAAAATTTACTTACGCAGACTGGGCAGTACATAAATACTCCATTCCCATCTGTTTTCTTTTGCAAGTTAACATGTATATGCATCTATTTTAGTGTACAAAAGCTTCAAAAGGTCTTTAAACAAGTATATGAGTTATGCCATGCATCTCTGAATTCAATTCTCAGTTTTTTAGATTGTCCTATCACTAGCAAATTCTTTTTTTTTTTGCAAAGCACATACTTGTAAACTTGCCTACAGGCGTATTTTCTGCTGAGTAATAAAACTTAAACTTTTATGTGGATATATGCATCTTTATTGTGTTTATTTATAGACACTTAATTAGATGGCTTCACCCCTAAATAGAACTGGTTAGGGTTATTAAAGGTTGCATGGCACTTTTCATATGAGCAGAGAGGAATATGCTACAGTATCCTGGGGAAAGTTTCCATTTCCTTAGTTTTAACAAAATATTCTGCTTGGAGAGGATTGTTCTCACCATCTTTACACATCATTAGTAGTTTAACACAGTTTAACTCAGTGACAATATACACCACTCATTTACATGTGAGCTTTTACAGTATTGAGGTTATCTAACAATAAATACTTATTTACCTATCCAATATTTCATAGATTTCATAGACATTAGGGCTGGAAGGGACCTCGGAAGATCGAGTCCAGCCCCCTGCCCAAAGGGCAGGAAGTCATCTGGGGTCATAGGATCCCAGCAAGATAAGCATCCAGTTTCATCTTGAAGGTGTTCAATGAAGGCGCTTGAACCACCTCCGGTGGCAGGCTGTTCCAGACCTTGGGGGCTCGGACAGTAAAGAAATTCTTCCTTATGTCCAGCCTGAAACGATCTTGAAGTAGTTTGTGACCATTCGACCTCGTCATCCCTTGGGGCGCTCTGGTGAACAAACGGTACCCCGGATACTGGTGGTCACCCCTGATAAACTTATAGGTGGCCATCAGATCACCCCTGAGCCTGCGCTGTTTCAGGCTAAAGAGCCCCAGGGCTCTCAGCCTGTCATCGTAGGGTCTGTTTCCCTGACCTCTGATCATGCACGTGGCTCTTCTCTGGACTCTCTCAAGCTTCTCCACATCCTTTTTGAATTGTGGAGCCCAAAACTGGACACAGTACTCCAGCTGCGGCCTCACTAAGGCCGAGTACAGGGGGAGAATGACGTCCCGGGATTTGCTTGAGAAGCATCTATGGATGCAAGCCAGCGTTTTGGTCGCTTTACTAGCCGCCGCATCGCATTGCAGGCTCATGTTCATAACATTTACATTTTGTTATCTCTAATGTGACTTGTTGTTTAACTGTTGTGTATGTATATAGGCTTATTATTGTTGGATCCCCTTTTGATACCCTACCTGTGGTTTGCTAGTATTTATTGTTTACCTGTCTTTACCTGTGGGTTATTTGGACTTACCTGTGTTTACCTGCTGCAGATCGGTTGATTATCTGTGCAGTGTTCGAGACCCCTGGTGGTGGTATAAGTTCTTAGTCACTAATTATAGAATATAGCATCACTTGTAAACTGTATATATTTATTAACATTAGATATTTTTTGTTTTTGGGTTTGTAAATATTTTATATAATGTAAAAATATTAATACATTTGTACATAGTTAAGTCATTTTTGTCCTGACCTGACTCTACAGAGAATAGAGGGATCTGAGCAATATTGCAGATCCCTCTCACAGCAGTCCTGCCTGGCAACCCATCCTTTCTATCTGGAGAAGGGAGCACATCCTTGGGTGCACCTGGGTTACTGTAGACCTCTCCTGCGGCAGTGCTGTGGTTCTCAAACTTGCTAGATTTGAAGCACCCCTTGTTAGATTCAAGGTACCCTCAGAAAATGCCATGTCCTACCATTCGCTCATTTTTTGAGTACAGAAAAATAGATCAATTTTTGTGTTGCAGACTTGGAAAGACAGAAGTCAAAATGCTTTTGAAATCTCTGGGTTTATCTTGCAACTCATGTGTAGGTGTTTGTATACCCAAAAGTGGTCATACTGCATGGCACCCTGCAGCACCCTTTCACGGCTCTAACAGTTTAGCTATGCTATTACTGTAAAGCATAAAGGCCTCATGATAAACAGTTGAGTGCTGATTCAATGTTGCCCCTGCATTTCCTCCGGCTCCCCACATATCTGAAAAAGGACTTTTTATTGTCCTTGATGCTCAAAGCTAGCTGGAGTTCAGTTGCAGCCTTGGCTTTCCTGGTCTGCTCCCTACAGGACCGGACCAGTGCAGAATAATCCTCCTTGGAGGTGACTCCCATCCTCCATCCTTTGTAGGCCTTTCTTTTTAGCCTCAGGAGGTCTGCTAGGTCCCTGGAGAGCCAGGGGGGCTGCTGTGCCCTCTTGCTGCCTTTCCTCTGAGATGGAATAGACTTAGTTTGTGCATTGAGGATCGCTCCCTTGAGGAGCAACCACTCTTCTTGAACTCCCCTCTCCCTGTGGTCACGGTCCCTTAGGGCCTCACTGACAAGCCTCCTGAGCTTGTCAAAGTCGGCTTTCCTGAAGTCAAGGACTTGCGTGTTGCTGACCGACTTGCCAGCTTTTCGGCGGATGGTGAAGGTGATCAGCTCGTGGTCGCTGTCACCCAGCTTCCCATTTGAATATAATGGTCAAATGTTATGACTATAAACTTTCTCTGCTTTATCCATTGGGCTTATCTTTTTTTTTTACCTCCTGACTCCTAGCTTTTGTATTGTTTTTCCTGAATGCTTTTAAAGAATGGATACATTTTCAGATGGAGTGAAATGATGCTTGTATTCCAATATATATTGTACTTTCAGGTCTTTCAGGATAAAACGGGCTATATGAGGTAAATATTATTATTGGGACTTATTTCACATGTAAGCATGCAATAAATTGGAAACGTTCTTATACATTTTCATTGCAGTTATACAAAATAACACTATTGTACTTACCCAATTGACTGAACACCATTTCTATAAGATTTGATGAAATAATTTTTTCTTCCTTGCCTGGTGACATCTACCCAGCCACCATCGTTGTCCAGAATACCATAATGTATAGCAGCTCGACAAATACTGGATTGCTGAAAAACAGAGTGAGAAAATCATTCCCATGTCAGAAAAAATAAATTATTCTCCATTTTATTTTAAATGTTTAAAAATTACTATTGTAAAGTTCCTGTTAATTTTAAGGCTGCTCAATCTTATGCCTTGCTGCTTGTGGCTCCCATGACTTATTCTGAAACTCAGGGATCAGCAAAACATGGAAATAATCCACATGCCATAGCTTTTTCCTACCCATACCCTATTCACTGGGAATGGGGAAGGTGATATAAAGGTCACTATGCCACTGACACCATCTGAGGTTTCTTCTACAGAGAGGTAACCATGTAAGCCAAGCTTTTTAGGTGTTTCCTGCCCTTAGAATGGGGCAAAGCAGTGGGAACATCATTCAGGATCCAGCCCTTACAAATCTGTTATTGGTGAATGTATGGGAGTTGAAGATTCTACAGACAAGTTTGATTTTGCCATCACTGAGAAATAAAAAGATTGTATATTCATGTTCACAGGATCTACTGTTTCCTATACTTTGTTTTATGTTCCACAATATGTGCTGGCATGGAAGAGGCCTCTGTGTGACTTCTTTCATTGTGGAGAAGCTGCTGCACACCAGCTTCCACACAGCTCTTGACAGAACAGGGCCATGATCCAAAGGCCAGGAGACCAAGACAGCTGGGAATCTCCTTCTACTGCAGCCTTCATTCATCTTTGAAGCTGCTGAGATTCTACTATCTTCTTCCACCTGCTCTGCCACTGAGGACTTGTAGATCCACGGCTGGGGGCAGGCTTATTATAGTGGGAATCCTGTATTAACCATGTCGCAGCACTGTCAAAGGATATATGTGGCTTTTCAGGAGGGAAACTATTGCCATCTGCTGTCCTCACTACATCCTGGTGGTACTGCTGCTGCTTGGTCCATGACTGCTTATTTGTCAGAGTTATACCTGCTTATTTCACAGCTAACCTTCCCTGAAGGTCATTCCACTATCTGCCACCTGTGAATACGATGGGTAGCAGTACACCTCTGCCCCACAGCCCACAATATCCAGTGGGTTGAAGAAGGCCCAAATATTTTAAACTAAGCATTAATCTTATATAGCTAGAATCAGATTCCCCAAAGTGGTCTATAATTATGCACCATAGAGTCCTGTATTTGACCCTCAACAGTACTTGCAAGTTTTATTTTTTTTTGTTTTTTCTCTTTTTTTGTTATCAAAATGATTTTCACAAACAAGTCTTGCTTATAAATGGAGGTTTTACATGTATAAAAGTTGCAAATGCTAAATTGCAGGAGCAAATCTAGATGCAGCTGAGATAAACCTTAACCTCTCTGACAGGCTTTTTACTTTTGGTAAACAGTAACCTCTACAAAATACATTCTTGCTGCTACCACATGTCAGCTATTATTCCAAATGCAAAAAGACAGAATTTCAATAAAAATTATATTCATAGCATATCTAATTTTAAAAACATGTTTACCATTTCATAATGTACACTTCCAATAACTTTGGCTTTACTGTCCAAACAGCCAGCAGGACATTCATACCTAGAAATGTAAAGTACAAATTAGTCTGAGGTCCTATGATTAAAGGTAGGAAGATATTTTAGCTGATATACGCACAGCCTTCATCTGAGGCTGCAGAGATGTAACATACCTATTGCAAGTTGTTCCTTTGCATTGGTCTCTTAACCTTACTTCACATGAAACAATCTGGGCTAAAACATACAAAAATAAATGTAATTAATATACCTTAAAGTTATTTAAGTTATTTACTATTTGGTCTAAATTTGTTGACCGCATGCAAACAATGAAAACTCCTTACACATTTGCTGTGTGCTTATTACTTCATTTTTCTCAGTGTCATCAATCCTCATAGAGCCTGAAGGGGAATGGGTTCTTGATCGACTTTGTGAGGTTGTTTCTTGCACTTTGGATCGCTGCCGTTCAATCTCATTGGTTTCCTCCTCTGGTTCATGTGGAGAGTAGTGTCTGTCTGAACCTTCTGTTTTAGAGAATGAATTAAACAAATAATCTCCTCAATAAATAACATTCCATTTTTTTTAAGGGAAAAAAAGGATGGATAAAAATACTTGTGACATCATTAATTTAATTATGCTTATAATGGTTTGGGTTTATGGAACAGTTTTTCAAGATGGATGGACAAGAGAAAAGCTTGATTAAATGTTCACTGAAGCCGTGAGACTTTCCATTGATTCAATGCTGTGCGTGTAGTTTACACACAATATTCGAAAGCTTAGCAACTTTAAAGCCAATTCTGCATTTAGATAAAAGCAACCAACCTCTCAGAGTTTATTTTTTTCTGTCCTTTAGGCATAAGCTGGAGGGATTTGAGTAAAAATGGTCAATCAGCAGTATCTAGGCTTTTTACTGCGGCTGTAGGGGAAAGAACTAGAAGCAATGGCCTCAAACTGCAGCAGAGAAAATTTAGGTTGGAGATTAGGAATCAATTTCTAACTATGATGGTAGTCAAGCATTGGAACAGGCTACCTAGAGAAACTATTGAATCTCCATCTCTAAAACTTTTCAAAAGCAGATTACACAGACCTTGGCTGTGGTAGTTTAGTCAGGGATGCTCCTACCTTGAGCAAGAGGCTGAACTAGATGACCCTATGAGGTCCCTTCCAGCCCTACTTTCCTATGATCTTATGTAAGTTTCTTGTTCATTCTGTAGTACAACTTTAAGTATTAATATTAAATCTATTTTTGGTAATTTATCTCTGCCATCAAGAAATCCATAGGCCAGGAATGGTTTCTTGCAAAAGACTTGCTTGACCAGACTTAAAAAAACCCAAAAACAAACAATCAAAAACTGGTTATAAGTCTCACTGGGCATATCTACATGTGCATTCATGCACAGTGGTTATTACACATTTAATTTAGTACTTGTATAATCAAGTACTAAATAAATGTGCAGTAACCAGAGTTACTGTGCAGTAGCAGTGGTGAATGCCTTTTTAGTGATGCTACTGGTCAGTAGCCTGCACAGTAGCATATTAGCTTTGTTTGTGCTGTGATGCACTACTGCACAGTACTATTAGGCTTCTGCACAGTTAGCATCTCATGTAGAAGTGCCCACTAAAACCCTAAATCTATAGTCACACATCTGAAATCAAAGCCTCTTCTAAGCACATAAATAGGGTTCCTAATTTTTAGAGACATTCATTCCTGTACCTAAGGCCCATGGGAAGCATTGCTTTCATAACACTATAAAGTTTGTAGAGCACTATGGGCAGCCCCATTTTTAAAGCCCCCTATGTGGAGTATGACAAAGGCACACTCTCCACACAGGGGACAATAGAGGGATGCTCCATAGCTCCCTGTACTGCCAGAGGAGCTGGTCAGTGACCTAGAAAGGCGCACTGAAAGGTTGTGAGCCATTTAAAGTTCCAGGGGTAGGTGCCTGGAGCCTGAGATCTAGGTCACCCAGGATCCTGGAGCACCATTGCCCATTACTCTTGAATCCCAGACTGCAGGCATGTTCTTTAAGCATCAAGGAAAAACAGTCTGAGATCCTGGTCTGCAGACATGCTAGAAGCTTTAAAGATCACCCCTGTATTCTATGCTGCAGATGCCCTGGGCAACTTAAGGAACCCACCTGCAGCCCGGAATCCCAAAGGTATTGAAGAGGGCAGGATGGGGTAGGGAGTGGAGAGAATCAATCCCTGAGGGAATAGCTTCCTCCCATGCTGATTAGTTGGTCATCCCAGTTCTGTGAGGAATGATGAATTCTCCCTTTGCACAGCCCCATTTTACTCACAGGAGGGAGGCAGGAGAAGGGAAAGCATAACCCCTACAGGGTGCTGCAGGGGCCAAGGTGGGAGACTGAAGGAAGCATCTTGGGATGCTGGGATGGTCCATGTGTAACATGCTACATATTCAAATTAAAGCACAATATAAACAAACTACAAAGATGTTCCACATTTAAAGAGTTAACATTTTTGAAGCTGGTTCATCATTTTTTATAGATGGCTCCCCATTTTATTATATGATAAATTACTTGAACATATGGTATATTTTAATTATTGCACAATTATTACTTTAATCGTGATAAATGTAAAGCCTGCTAGGGGCCTAAATTCCTTATTTAGCTACCTAGATGAAGGTACAACCTAGGAACATTCTAAAAAAGTGATATACAGTGTGTTTATGTTTCAAAAGTATTAACAAAAATGATTGCCTAAATCCGCTGTAAAAAAAAAATGTTGTCATAATATGCTACATTCTAATATTATAAAATCTCACTAATAAAATTTTGAAAACTGAAAATTACAGAAGGTACTAATGGATATGGACCTACATAATTTGTGTTTTCATCGATTTCGCGGAAACCACAAAATCCGAGATTGTCCATAAAATCCGCAAAATCAACAAAAATAAATAAAATTCTGGCTCCCCAGGGGGAGCCAGCAGTTCTTGCTGCCAGCGGGGAAGGTGCCCACCGGCAGAGCAGCACAAAGGGCAGCAGACAAGATGGTGGCTGCCCGCTCATCACACTGCCAGGACCTCTCCATCAATTAGCGCCAAGGGGTGGGGTGGCATGAAGGGCAGCCAGCAGTCAAGATGGCAGTTGCCTTCTTGTCATTCCCCTCCCCGCCACAGCCTCTCCACCAATCAGCGCTGAGGGACAGAACTGCTGCAAAATGCCTGCAAAATTGCTCTGCATGCTGTGAGCACGCCATGAGAAACCCTTGTCTCCCCGCAATTTAAGTAGGTTCCTAATAACGAAGCATGCTCGAATGAAGTAGGTTCCTAATAACGAAGCATTTCCCTGGAATGAATAAGTTATTTTTGCTGCCAGCATCCTGCCTTTCTTTATAGAATCTCCTTTGCTTATTTTGCTGAGATAGTGCGAGTTTCCAAACAGAGTGCCACTCTGCTTAGTTTTTGGTCCCAAACAGACTTACGTACTCAGGAGCTCAGACCAGTGGCAGTTCTGGACATGTAGAGAAACACAGTTCTGTGGACCAAAGTAATTTCAGGTAAAAAAGAGGTGGGGGAGAGGGAGAGGGAAGAAGTACCTTGCAATTAAAGCCTCTCTGGAATTAAAGAGCTACTAAGATGGTTTTCTGAATCACAATTTGGGACTTAGGCCATTAAAGACCACCCATATTTCGTCTTGGGCAACTTTTACATTATTAGAGGAAATCATAATAGAGTACACATCACTATCTTACAGCAAAATGAATAATGAAAAAGGATTATATTTTGCTAGCCATCCACACATCATAATCACAGCTCCTTTTCTTGAAATGATACATACCTCTGTAGCAAAGATTTTCTCTGCAGCCTCCTCCAAAACTAGGTGGACATGCAGAACAGGGGTGACCATGCTTATAAGGAGCATGACCCCACCAGTTGCCCCTTAAAAAATAGTAATTTTAATTAGTAAAATATGCCTAAATAAATAAATATACATCTTTAATAGTAACTATCAATTCAACAGAAATCCAGAGACATCAAGCAAGATGAAGCCTGACTTGGTAGCCTAGTGGTTAAAACACTCAACTTGAGTGCAGAGAGTAGTTCCTGATGCCAGGATTAGTTTTGTTTTTTTATCCAGTGACTACCTAATGTAAAATGCATAACAAACTTGGGAACAGTGACTGGAACTCAAAATTCCCCTCTACCAAGGCGGTGCCTTAACCACTAGCTACAGAGTTACATTCCATTTTGACTGTTCTCCTTCTGGATCCATGACTCTTGCATTCTTGGTGCATCAGAAGTCCAGCTTCAACAGAAGGGAGTTACCCACGCAACTTATTCTATCATGATTAGGAATTGGGACACGTTGGTTTAGATTCCCTCAGGCTAATATGGGCCTGTAACCCAGGCCTTCCATTTCCTGCGCAAGTGGCATAGACTTCACGCTCAGCAAGTTTGCAGATGACACCAAACTGAGGGGAGTAGTAGGTACACTGGAGGGTAGGGCTAGGATTCAGAGTGACCTAGACAAATTGAGTATTGGGCCAAAAGGAATCTCATTGGGTTCAAGAAGGATGAGTGCAAAGTCCTGCACTTAGGATGGAACAATCTCATGCACCAGTACAGGCAGGGGGCTGACTGGTTGGGCAGCAGCTCTGCAGAAAAGGACCTGGAGGTTACAGTAGACAATAAGCTGAATATGAACTAGCAGTGTGCCCTTGTTGCCATGGCCAACAGCATACATGCATTGGTAGGTGTGTTGCCTTACCAAATGCATTGGTAGGTGTGTTGCCAGTATCAAGGGAAGTGATTATTTCCCTCTATTCAGCACTGGTGAGGCCACATGTGGAGTACTGTGTACAGTTTTGGGCCCTCACTACAGAAAGGATGTGGAGATATTGGAGAGAGTCCAGCAGAAGGCAACACAAATCATGAGGGAGCTGGTGCACATGACTTATGAGGAACGACTGAAGGAACAGGGATTATTTAGTCTTAAGAAGAGGAGACTAAGAGGGAATTTAATAGCAGCCTTCAACTACCTGAAGATGGGGTTCGAAAGAAGATAGAGCTAGACTGTTCTCAGTGGTGGCAGATGACAGAACAAGGAGCAATGGTATCAAGTTGCAGCAAGAGAAGTTTAGGTTAGATATTAGGAAGAATTTTCTCACTAGGAGGATAGTAAAGCACCCAGAGAGGTGGTGGAATCTCCATCCTTGGAGTTTTCAAGACCCGGCTAGACAGAACTTTAGCTGGGATGATCTAGTTGGTGATGGTTCTGCTTTGAGTAGGGGGCTGGACTAGATGACCTCCTGAGGTGCCTTCCAACCCTAACTTTCTTTGATTCTGTGATTCTAAGTGGTCTAGCCACTAGCTATTAAGCAAAAATTAAGCATCACCATTTTGAACTGAACTGAATGCTGATGGTGTAAGACAGGCCCACGCACTCACAGTATACCTTACCGACTGGCCTCCCAGAGACTTAAGTAGAGTTAGGTATCCCCACCCCCCCAGCGAAAGTATTTAGGCAAGTGTTAGATGCCTAGTTGATCAAACTGAATCACTTCTGCGTATGCATAGATGCCCAAGTAAAAGCACTTAAGTAACTCTGAAGTCCAAGGTGGAGGCATCGAATAGTTTAGAAACCGGTTATCTGTTGTGACTGCTGCAACAAGGTCAATCTATATTAGGTTTTAGAATTTAGGCACCTAAATTCCATTAAATCCCATGTAGGTGCCTATGGAACAAGCTTGACTATGGCCCTAAATTACCTTATCATAAAACAACAGGAATCCTGCTGTCTTAAGTGGAATAGCTAGCCAGCCACCTGAGGACAATATGTGACCCTAAGCATGATATGCTTTCTAAATGGTAATAATTTACATAGCCTCTAAAATAAGAATGGAGAGGTACATTAACTTTCCAGACAAAATGATAAATACCATCAAACGACAATAGAGATCTCTGACCCTGGAGCACTAGTAAAGAGTTAATTTGGACAGCTAAAGCTCCAGAAGTCAGAACAGTCTTGATTTAGCCAAGGCAGCACTGGGAACAATGCTTCATTTTGTAGTAGCACAGAAATAGAAAATTTAGAGTTACTTTCTCTTGGGTTATCTCCTGGATTATAAATTGCTTTTCCCTTTCAATATAATTTAGAGTGCCCTCATAATATGTATACTTACTTAGGAGAATAATTGCACACTAGGTAGACTGCTTTCGGCCAAATCTGTCCCCAGATGTTCATGTTATGGCACAAGTTAATAGCACAACCTATTCTGCTACTTGTGGCCCATACCACCTACATGACAAGAAAGAGGCATGTCAAAGTCAAATGCTAATCAAAAATAAACCAAATTATCTATGAAATACTGAACTATAAGTGTATGCCTACAACTCTATTTTGAGTTGAAGACTTCCCCTTAGCAACTCCCAGTCACATGAGCCACCCACCTCTGTCCACGTTACTTAGCTCAGGCATCACACAGAAAACACAGAAGAGGTACATCTACGCATGCAATCAATGTGACTGAATATAGTCCGGCTCAATTTAAACCAGAGTAAACTAATCCCAATGGCTGTGTGTAGACAAAATGAGATGCATATGTGCACGGCACTTCAAAGTGGGCTAAATGTTTTCTCACCGCTTTAATGGCGTCGGTGTTTGCATGCATCAGCGGTGTATTGCGCATTAATACCAGCCACCGTAGGAAATTTGGCAGCGTAATGCACCTTAAATGACTTGGGGTGCAGCAAACTAAGACTCCTTAGAGGAGTTTTAGTTTGCTGCCCCTACAGCTGCAGAGCGAAGCACCAGGCTCCGTGCAGCTCCATGACTTTGAGCTTATCATAAAAGCCCACCAGCAGCTCGCCTTCTCCTCCCTGTCAGAGAGGCAGGTAAATCAGTGAGGTATGTGCATGACATGGAGGTTTAATCAGCCCAAAATTGAAGCCATGATTTTTAAAATCCACCACTTCAATTTAGGGCCTCTGTTTCATCTACAGACACCCAATATCACCATTTACACATGTGTTTAAGCACAGGACTTTACTGCAATGTAGGATAGCACCTGTGTCTATCCTATGCCAGAGTAAATTAATCTCATGTGCACTAATTGTAACACACATGTAGAGGGTGACACTTTACTATGCATTAAATTAATTTAACGGTTAAGAGTGAGCTAAAGGGGCAAGCCTGGGAGTGGTCCTACGTAGCAGGACAGACACATTATGCAAAAGTATTAATTTTTCTTCCTTATATTCATACACATACAAGTAATGGACAAAGAGAATATTCATGCATGAACCACAACTATTATTAATTTTTTTTATATTCAGTACTGAAGCATATGAAGACTGGATAATTTCTGTCACATTTCTGCATAGTATTCATCTGTCTTGTTTCAATTACATCACTACAGCTACACAAATTTATCACAGCTAATAAATTATTAAGTTATATTTCTTGTTAGAAGGAAAAGTTTTATATTGATACAACATTTATGGTTGTTATTTTACATAAGTGGTATATGTGTTTGATTATGGAACAACTGTTTACAAAGATGCAAGAGTCTTCTTTGAAGAACAGTTTTTTAAAAAAGAAAAAAAATTGGGGAACTGAGAAAAGCTGGGCTGTTGTATACAACCAAAATGTAAGGTCCAAGAGAAATGTGCAATTAATAAGATAAATAGATTAGATGGATGACAGCCAATAATTAATAGAAGGAAATGATATGAGTAATTGAACTGTTAACAGGATTTCATGAACTGAAAAGATTCAAATCTGCTACAGATCACAGATTTTAACAATTACGCTTTTCATGTTATTACAGTTCACTCAGCTATTAAAAAGAACTCATTACAGAGCTCTTGAAACAACCTGAAAGACTAAGACTGAGTTTTTCAAAGTCTAAGCAGTTAGGTACCCAATACCCTTTTAATTAGTGGAAGTTGCATTTTTAATTCTCTGAAACCTTTTGAACATCCAAAACTAAAGGCTTGGATAGATGCTGTGCAAAAATACCTATGCATGAAGAGCATTAACACAGTGGGAATCCTGCATGTAATGAAGACAGATAAATTATGGGAGTTTAAATCAAATGCATAAATGAAGACTTCAGTGATCAGTGTATTTTAACATTAAAAATGGACACACATATATTGTTACTTGTAAGAAAAATAGTGTCTTCTGAGTACCCCATAATAACAAACTGAAGTTAAAAATATTCTGAATGCTTCTGGACATCTGTCTAAAGATGTGAATGCACATTAGTCAAAACGGTAGGGAGTGGTTAACAGGTAGATATATAGTTGGTTGTATTAAAAATTTCAGGATTGAGCATGATGGACTTTTTGAAGTAACAAGGCTGACACAATTTTTTGCGGTTTTTTTATTAGATGACACATGAATTCCTAGAAGCATGTTCAATATTCTAGGAAAATACAAGAAAAGTAGATTCGGGGAATTAAAAAGCATTTTAAAGGAGAAGAATTCTTTGGAACATTGTACCAACTGAGTAAATATAATTTTAACAACTTTGTATTTTCTTGTTTGGTTATTTTTGTGACTCTAGAAGCATCTCCATGAGAAGCTACTGAACAGTCATTACTGTGCATTTATTTAGTACTTGTATTAGCAAACACTAAATAAGTTCACAGTAACTACAGTGCACTGGCAAATGCCTTTTAAGTGATCCTACTGTGCAGTAGCCTAATAATCCTGCGCAGTAGCATATGAGGATATGAGCATATGAGTAGCATGTGTCCATGCCGTGACATGCTACTGCACAGCATTTTTCAGCTACTGTGCAGTCAGAATCTCATGTAGATGCACCCACTGTGCTGTAAAAATCCTTGCATTTAAGTTTCTAGAGTATAACACCATTATACTTAGTCTCCTTGTTAAATAAGTTTATCTGATACATGGCAAATCTGGGTTGCACTTGAAGTTATCTATCAGTTTTAAGGCAAGTAGATAGGAAATTAAAGAGTTTATTCTCCTCTGTCCACATCATCTTTAGGATGTTGACAGGGTCAGCACAAAGCACAGAAGGTTCTATGCCATTTCAAAAATGTCATTACTATTATAAAAGAGTCATAATTTGTTCCCTATATAGTGGCTGTCCCTGATTAGTCATAAGACAAAGCTTTCTTTTACTCATTATACATTCTTATTGCATATTTCCTTTTAGTGGCCATGTCTACACAAGATGCTGACAATACAGTTCTTACTGCACAGTCATTTAGTATTTGTATACACTAAATGACTGCACAGTAGCATCCCCAAAGGGCTTTTTGGTGATGCTGACTGCTCTGCAGTAGCTCATTACTACTGTACAGTAGCTTGTTACTACTGCACAGTAGCATTATGTCACGCGACACTACTTCACAGTAGTAAGAATCTACTACGCAGTCAGTGTCTTGGTTAGATGCAGTCACTGAGTGCAGAATATGCCATTTGCAGAGTGTACTGAATGGCAGTATTTTGCACTCATTCTGCCTGATTATTGGGCTTTCTGGGGAATCCCTGCCTGGGCTGAGGTGACAGAATTCATATCCATTCTAGATGTGTAAGAATTCCACAGAAATGCAGCACAATCCCATTCTAAGTCGTGTGTAGACTTAGACCAGATGAGGCATGTAAACATAACTTCCAATAGCCACAAACCACCAACACAGGGACATATTTACTTTTAAAATCAATATGATTTTCTACACCTTGGAGGCATACAATTTTCTTGATAGTAAAAGAAAAAACATAAAAAAATCCCCAAACATACCTGTGTATAATGAGTACAAACAGGACCAGAACACCTAAAAGGACAATATGGGTTGCATTCATGAGGATAAGGGTAGGTAAAGTCTCTCACTTCATCATACCATGCTTGGACATGAAATGTCAGAGGCCTATACCTATAAAACCAAAAGCAATTCTTCAAATCATTGCACAACAAACCTGAAAAGTTATACAGTATTGTCTCACTTGAGTTTTACATAGCAAACAAGGTTAAAAAAAAATGTTTGTGGCATATTTATGGTATCTTGAACTACCTTCCCCAGTGTGCCCCCAAATTCTGTCCAATTGATGGAAGAAGGCTCGCAGGTCCATGTTCCCACAGACAAGTTTCCGCCCAGGATTCTGCAGATCTCTCCAGCTCTACATCCCATGACTATAGTTTAAAAGAAAGAAATAGGTACATGCTTCTTAGGTACATTTCCTGGATATTCTGTGTATTTCATAAATCTCACCAAAGCTATTTATTCATAAGTTTCCTGTTCCTCCCCATTCCCTCAATTAAGAGGACTCCTTTAATGTTGTGATGTCCCATTTGGGTTTTTTAAGAAAAGCATCTTTATACAACTGCATAAAAATGGATGTCGCATCTTACGCAAGGGTTACATTCTAAAGGCAGCATGTAAAGGCGAAAATGTGTATAGTGAAATCGTATATTACCGTTCCAACGGCGACTGCCTCTGCCTCCAAAACCTCCCGTGTGCGGTCGGCGGCAGTGGCGCAGTGCGGGGTGGTGGTGAGGATGGCTGCATGATGCCCAGCTACCACCATGCTTGGCAGCCGGCCACACAGCTCTGGGCACGGCTCCATGGCAGCAACGGGGGGGTTTGGAGGCAGAGGCAGGCACTGCTGGGAGCGGGGG